TTTCCTTGTATATCTGACTTGTCTGAAGTTTCAATATCAAATTGTACAGTGTCAAATAAATCCCATAGCTCTTCACCCCGCTTGATGCGTTCTGGAAGTTGAGATGCGCTACTATCTGTATAGCTGATAACAAATTCTTTAAAACGCTCCAGTTGATTGAACAGGCTGGTACGCTTAGCTTTCAATTTCTTTAGTTCTGACATGATTGAAATATAAAATGATTAATTTTGTATGATATGTTTATACGTATTGATATGATTAGGTTTTTATATTATGATTATTGTTTGTTATTGTTTTGGTAGACTGATAACTAGAATTGAGAATGTTAAAGGAATGAGAATGTTAAGGAGAAATAAAGGAAGTGACTTACAAATATGTGCTTGCTTTTGGTTGGTTTATGTTGCTTGAGCTGCTTGGTAGAGTGTTTGAACTGAAGTTGGTTGTTGGTGACGAACTTGATGTATGAAGAAATGGTGAATGATGATGAATGTGGTGAATGACTTTGATCGCTTCTTGATAATATGATGACTGATTGATGATATGCTTGATACTATATGGTGAATTGTCTGCTTGCGGACAATATTATGAACTGGATATTTTTTAGTTTCTTGAATCTGCCGAATGTGCCGGAACCAAACTTGATATCTGTATATTCTTAAAAATGGTGACTGCATAAGGCAATTAAGATGGCGATAATATGTTGATATATGGCGAATGCGCCAGGTAAGGATACGATTTTCTTCGTGTATTGTGGGTAGAATACTAGCTAATGCGGCGTCGCACGGCTGCACGGCGTCGTCCTTGATCTAATCCGGAAAACTGGATTGATAACTGAATTGTACCTTGATATCCGGCTCGTTTGGACCAAAAATTATGTTGTATCTTTTGCGCTGGTTATGGTAAGAATTAAACTTCTCTTCTAGTGGACTGTATTATTTATTTGGGTATTACAAACTAACACTAGACAGTTAAAGCACGGCCAAAGACGTAGACGTAAACGTATCGTTTGACATGTACGCTTGCGCAGTGTGAAATTCGCTTGCGTTTACGGATACGTGATACGTATCTTTACGTGCCTTTACGTACGTACAAAACGCAAACGTATCGAGCCGAAGGAGGTTCGATTTTCACCCGAATGATGCCGAACGTACAAATTCACAAACTCGTTTCCACAACTGGCTAGTAATTAAGTTATTTCATAAATTTTGGGGCCAGTGTCACAGAACTGGACCTATTTTATTACAATAAATTAGTATGAAAATATTAAGCATCATAATAAACTCATTTTGGAATCTATTTAATTAAATGCTAATTCTTATAGGCAAAACCATAATATGAGGATTCTAAAAGATGGAATCTAATAAATAATCATAAAGCTGTGTCTGTTTTCCAATATTTTTTTATTACGAAGAGCATTTTAAGTTGTAAGGACTACTTTCTGTAATAAGATTTATAATTTTCTTCAGTTTTCGATATTACTTTTATAAATTTAATGTGGAATCAATGGAATAATAGATATCCATTTTCAATTTTAAAATTAAATAAATTGTTTCACAAAATAATTTAGAATTACAAATGTACCATTTGCGTTACGTACGTCAAAATACTTGCTTTAACTCTTGTTTACACGACAACGCAACGGCAGACGTAACGTAAGTTTCTGCGTTACGTGTCGAGAGATACATATAAGTATTGTGCCTTGCTTTAACTGTCTACTATTTACACTGATTTTATAAAAATAACGTAATTTGTCACCGTGTGCTTTTTTCGTCTACCAAGAACCTATCAAGAATGACTTATGTCAAAAATGTGTACAGTGGTGTACTCTAATCAATTATTAATTGTGATCAGTGGCGTGACAGATACACATAATACAAAATCCAACACATTGAAATTACTTTTTAACATTTGGAGGCCCCCTAAAAGAACCAGAGGTGAGCCGTCGCTTCCCCCCGCCCCTCCAAGCCCGCCTCTGAGTAGACGTACTTTACAGACTATGCCCCAAGTACCAAGTACAGCTAGTAATAAATATGTATAGAATGATTTGGTGGAATACATATAACCCTTCTTTATATATTCTTAAAGTTGGTCAACCTCTCGACAAAATGTGCTGCCTCTGGTGAACAAATCGTGAAGCTTTAAAGGAATGAAACATGTGATTAGGGGCGGAGTCAAAAATATCGATTATTTGCGGTATTTCCCTCAGAGTAATGTAATAATATAGCTCGGATTTTTGCGAACTATAATAGGGCTCAGCTGATTAAGAAATTTAAACAAAACTATTCTTTCATTGTTGATTTTCGATTATTTTTGCTGTTATTTTAAGGATTCTAAACCGTATTAAAAAAGAAATTATTTCAATATGTTGGTACATTAATGCTAATTACTGGTAATTATTAATATTTAAAAAAAGTTACATACACTTACTTTATTTCGATTTGACACAGGGCTATAAAATTTTATTTCATTCTTAGATCATTTTATTCTAAATTGAGGTTTTACGAATTTACGATAATTTTTTTTTTGAAAACAAAACTTTTATACATTCTTGATTAAATTTTTTCTTAATTAAAAATAAAACTTGGCACTTGCTTCAATAATATTATTTGACGTTTAAATAAATATTATGTAGATACTTAATATACCATTTAAATCTTTATTACATGAAATAAATCTTTCTTAGCGTAAAACATGATCAGTCAGGTTTGCTTTAACTTTGTACCATATGAAAAGAACTATGAGGGTGCAGCCACACTATCCTAAAAACGGCGTATCGGCGTAACGGCGTAATGACCTTGAATGGATTTCCAGTAATTCTGTTGGCTGAAAAATTCATCTGTCAGAAATTTTATCTGTCAAATTCATCTGTCAAATATTTCAGCCAATAGAATTACTGGAAATCGATTCAAGGTCGTTACGCCGTTACGCCGATACGCCGTTTTTAGGATAGTGTAGCTGCACCCTGAAAGAAAACGGCGTCCAGTTAGCTGGGAAATGACGATCGACATTTCCCATATAAATTTACATATAAAATGAATTAAGAATTATAGAAACTGAAAATATCATTATATTTTAACTCGCAAAGCCCGTTAAACCATAAAACTTTCTAGTATATTGTTTTATTAGGAGTAAAAATGACATTTTTTGTGCATGCATGGCGAGACTGTACGTTTGACATACAGCTGAAGCACAAAAAGTCATTTTTACTCCGAATAGAGCATGCTATTTTTTTCAAACGCCACAAATAATTTTTTAAACAATTTCAAACGTTCCAAATAATATAAAAAGATTTAAAACTCATACCTTGAAAGTAATTATTATGATACAGAGAAAACAAGGTATGATATTGCGCAGGTTGGTCACCACGTCACAGGTGATAAACGGCACTATTGGTCGGCAAGCGCCACGCGCCAATTTCAAATTTTCAAACAGATGACACATAATAAATGTGTATAATGTGTCATAACTTTTCAAATGTCAAGCTCGATGATTTTACATAACTTTAGGGGTTATGTCATTATTCTTACTTATTTTAGGTCTTTTTTTATTAGTGGCATTTGAACAATATGGATATTTTTTTGTATGGCATATGACGTCACAGGCGATATGCGCAAACTGAACGAAATTGGAGCCGCTATCGATCATACCTTGTTTTCAAGTTTTCTGTGTACCATGAGTAATTATATATCGAGAAACTACGGTTACGGCTCGTTGAATTTGAGACTTATGTCATTTTAATAATATATTTTCATACTTTTATGCTTAGGTGTAAAACTTTACTTTTATGCCTAGGCGATAAAATGACTTTTTTATATTGTCAATCACGTCGCAAAAATTAATACTTTTGTGTCGTTTAAAAAAAATAATATTTTGAAACTAACTGGTATATTTTTCTGCCACAACAAAGTTATTATACAGTGATAAATGATAAGATCACATTGAAATACGCTACTGGGTAAAAAAATTGGCTAAATTTTATCAATAATACTCCATTTCAAAAGTTATTTTCCAAAATAATAAATATTTTTTAATAATTGACTGCAATTAATATTATTTGACTAGTTTAATTTGATTAATAAGACTAGATTAATTTAATTTAAAATTTGATCAGATATTTTTTCGTATATATTCAACTACCAGAAAACCAAAATTATATGATTTTTAAAACCAAAATTATATACACTTTTAAACGAACTACTACAATTATTTAGAAGAAAAACAAAAAAAAAACAAACCAAACCTTCACCTTCTACTCAACTCGAAAATAAATGAATATAATCTCTTACAAGAACACTACACAAACTACTTCTTGTATTCTACACTAAACAAATTATCAAACTTATTAATTAATCAAACATAAAGAAAAAATAACCAAATTACCTCTTCACCTATACTACTTAAATTCAAAATAAAATATAAAAACACTACTAAATTACTTCTGGTAGTCTACACTAAACATTATAATCAAACTTAATAAATTAATCTAATTTTACTAAAACTAGAAAGAAACAAGAAAATGTTTTAAAACTACAAGAAACAAAACTTCGATACGTGCAACCAAAGTGCAACCAGTTTGTAGATCAAGCGGTCAAAGAATATAAAATACTTTAGAATGTGCATTCAGAAAGAAAAAAATATCTCGAAAGTTATCCCAACAAACATTTTATTTCTTATCAGTGAAAAACATCGGCCTCGTCGGCCTTGCGGAATTTGTCGGGTATTTACAATGGTCGAATTGTATAATTACCAGCTTTTATAGCACATTTAATAGACAAAAAGTATCTGGTCGATTAGCAACCAATTGGCACAGTCCGAAAATTATCGATTTTTATTTTCTCTGTTTTTATTGGCCGCTTCAAAATTCAGAGTAACAAAAAATATTTTTCTGTAGTAAAAGACTGTGAAATACGCCCCGCCATCTGGTGCTTTACATCCATAAACGTCTTAGGCTGAGCTACTTTAAAAATTCATATACAAGGATATAACAAAATATATTTTACCAGTATCCTTTAAAATTGACAGATTGTTTTTAAATGCTATATTTGTTAAATTAACCATTTTGAGCGTATTTTCCATGGCAACAATTTCTTTTTCAGCTACTTTTATCTTATTGTCCAGTTCATCTCCTTGTTGTTGAAGCATAAATTTATCTTGTGCGTGCTTTATTTTAAAATGTGTTATAGAAAATGGTTGACCATCGTCGTCTTTGCCTGCTGGTAGAAAAATATATTAATGATTTATAATTTCTGTAACCACTAAGTTTAAAATAAAAACATTTTTTCAATGTCATCTGTCGAAATCTTCCCTGACTCGTTGGGTTGATATCCAACGGGTAAAATAGTTTGGAAATATCGGTATAGGCTCCTCCGCCGGTTATGTAAAATTAAGCATTTAGTAATTAAGCATTTAGTAATGCGGCTTTCGTTTTGGCATTACTAATGCCAAAACGAAAGTGTGTCGTAACTAATGAAAAGTTAGAAGTTGTCTCTTCTTTTAAAAATGATTATCCAAGTCTGATATCACTTGGAAGGTATACAAATCTTAGCACAATAGCAAAAGAGTATATTTAATACTTTTTCAACTGCCTTTAATTTCCCCTTCAAAATCTGTCCGTCTGTGCAACGAGTCAGCGAAGAATATCGTCAGATGAAATCCAAACAATGACAGAAAATACAATTTACATGTGAATTAAAATGACAGACAACTGTCACTGTCAGGTATTCTCGTTAGAAAAACTTTACATATCTAAATAAATTCATAATTTATTTATGCATAGAAACGGCCGGACTTGGTCCGGATTTCAAAGCTCACTTCTCCGGAATCCAGTGGCGGCTCGTAACCCTTGTGACTGGGTAGGCGAATTTTAGTTGCGTCTATCCCCCCCCCCCTAATTTACATAATACCCTAACCCAGTTTGTAAATATATGTTATCTCTGGGTTAAAAACATAGCTCAAGAATATTTAGGACAAAACTAAAGCAAAAATAACAGTATTCAACGTAATGACATAATGATTGACATAATGTACAAGAAGTATATGTTTTTTTTTATCTACTATGGAGTCACTATGGAGTACATCATAGAATTTTATTCTATTTTTATTTACTTACGCAAACTTAAAAATTGGTAGTATTGAGAGAAAGAATAAATATGTTTTATATATTAAATTGTTGAGTCGGTCTCTTAACAAAGAAAAGTTATTTATTATTATATCAGTAAAATCATCAGATTATTGAAGAGCTGTGAAAAGATCTTTTTAGATATAGATTGAAAGTAAGGCAAGTGACGATAAACGTTTATTTTTCATGGAATCTCTACTATAAATTTTAATGCATTTCAAACATGAAAAATGTCTCTCAACCCAAGTACTTGTAAATGGTGTAGTAACAAACAAAAGAAACAATTTAAAAGCCTCTGGAAATATATTTCCAGGATTATTCTCCGTAAATTATTTTTAATTATTTTATAATCGAAATTATCATATCTATTATTAATACCTGCAATTTATTTATTAATTTACGTTGGTCAATAACATTTTTTGTTTGTTAAATCACTATTAAATGCGTTGGAAATGTATTAATATAACAAGTTTGCTAAATCAGATGTTAAATGCGTTGGAAATTTTTTATAGGATTCTTTAAATTTCGGATCCGCAAGAGATAAATAAAAATAAGCATAAACAAAAAAAAGCAAACCTTATTTCTAAATGTATAACAATGTTATCTAATATTTCATAAAATAAAGTTTGCAAAGATATTTGACATAGCCGCTTTTATTAACATATCGAGTTGAAATAGCACACTGTTGTATCGTCTTCTTGCACCGAATAAAATAACGCGCTTTTTTATTTCGGATTCTTTTATTTCTGTGGCGTGTTCTGAAATACAACCGGTTATATCATTTTGAATAATCTCCGAGCCCGAAAAATGTTTCCAATTTGCTTTAAACGTTTTTTTTTTGAATTTTCATATAAAAGTTTTATATACGTATAACGAATCATATGAAATATCCCCTTAACGAAATGTGATATATCCCCTTATGAAATATCGGGAATATCCCCTTAACTTCTAAGCCTACCGAGCCTCCACGAGTTGATGCAAAGGCGACCGGAGATCATCATAAGCCCCGCCTTAATACACATAAGCCCCGCCTTAATAGGATACAACACCGACTTACGTCGCGTCGCTACCGCACGATGAGTTAGACAGAGATAGAAGACTGCCGTACGTCGTGCATCGACTCTGATAGTAGGCGATGCAGAAATCGCCGAACAAAGGCACTCCAACGGTCAAAATTATTTTGTTTTCTAACGCAGCGGCACAGTCAGCGTACGCCAGCGATAATGAATATTTTAATATACAAGACCATAAATATTAAAATAATATTGATTATTAAAACACAATGCCGTGTATTAACAGTATTTTTATGTATTGAGAACATTAATAGTAAATAATGTAATGTAATAAACCGCTTAAATTCTGCCAAAATTTTAGGGCCTACCTTGCCTACCCTGACGAGCCACCACTGCCGGAATTCCCATAAACTTATAAGGGAATTTTACGTGGAACCGGAACAGTGATTTTCGGAATATGATAACTCTTACCGACTGTTCCACCAATGGAACTGTTCCACCAATGGAACTGTTCCAAAATCACTATTCCTAATATTTTATACCAATTTTAGTCAATATAACATGTTAAATATCTGGAAAATACTTAAAAATCCTAGTTTTCAGCATGCACAAATTAATTTGGTATTAGCATTAGTCTTATTAGAATATGAAATATACCATATTTCTTAGGACCTGATACTGATATTAAGGCTGATAATTAAGATAACAGTAGTTGAACCGTGAACGCTGTCATTTGTTTACTTTGATACTTTGATTCTTGGGATTAGGACTAATGTCAGAATTAGTTAAGACCAGCCATAATTCAAATCAACCAGCCATAATTTTTCTATTAATATTTAAAAGTACGATTGTATTTACCTAGCGACATTAACTCAATATGATATTTTTTCTTCATCTGTTCAAGTTTTACTTTTCTCAAAGATATATCACCTTTAAGCCGACCCTTATCTTCCTCTAAGTTCCTCTTTTGAGCTAGCACAACCGTTTTCTTTGTATCTATTTCTAGTTGCCGCTCTTTCATTGCCTGTTAAAAAAATACTATTATAGAAATAAATATGAAATTACTAAATAGTTTCAAACATTTACATTTATAATGTAATGGTAATTTTAATGTAATGGTACATTTTGAATGCCTGGGCTGTCACGATAAAACTATTAGTGATGGGATAACTCGAGCGAAAATTCGCTCGAGTACTCAATTATTGAAATAACCGACATCGCTCGATTATGAACGAGCGATGCAAGTGACGAGTACCAAGCGACGAACGCAAGCGATCCTAGAATGAAATAAATTGAAATCCGATTTTAATGTGACCTACTCGATAAAAAGCCGAGCGAATTTTCTCTCTGTTTTTTTTCTCAGGTAAGATTTCGACAGACGATGACAGAAGAAAAGCAGATGACGTCCCATACCAATCTATTTATTTTACTAAAAAAAATTTCTAATTATTTTTAAGTTATCTATGCATGGGTTTAAATATAAATCCGTCATACGTCGTGTCTTGTTGTTTTTAACCAGTTTTATTGGTTTATTTAAAAAATGACAGATCGTATTTCAATTTTATTGGTTTGACGGAACGATGAACGACAAACGGACGCCGATGCGTATGCGAACTCGCCTTTAGATTTTATCATTTTTGGACGCTTTGTCAAAGTCTTGCCAAATTATAGGTTATAATTTTGAAGCTCAACTTTTTGATAAATACCCTGCGTTTTGGAAGATGATGGCTTCCTGATTCGTATTATTACGTGTTTTCGGTGTCTTTTGAAGTCAAGGGAGGAAAATCGAGTGAAAATTAATTGTAGACCCAGAGCACAGTTTTGTTAATACTGCCCAGGCAGAAAGTCTTATACACCAATGAAGTTGCCATCGATAAAGTTTGTATACCATTTCGTCGTAGATAAGTGCCATCTCGTATAAGGTAGAAGGATCAAACTAAACAATATACTAAAACTGAGAAGCTGTAAAATATCGATCACACGATAGGCAACAATGGATTTTAGTACTGCAGAAAAATAATGTCAAAATACCTTTGCTTTAAAAAATTAAGATTAAAGTTAATTAATTAACCTTTAAGGTATAAATTTGGTAGGAGTTATTATTAATAAAATAGTTTGTTTTATTTACCTATGTTGTTTTATTTATTCCTGTGAATACATAAATTTGTATTTGTACATAAGTTATATTGGATAAATATAATCATAAATGTGTAGTTTCATAAAAGTCAAGTAAATAATAGTTCTTTTTATATTTTTTGGTATGTAGTGTCTTGTTCTTGTTTGTTTTGTATTAACACATACCGTTTTTATTAAATAAAATTCGCTCGAGTACTCAATTATTGCTGAAATAACCAGAACATATCCTCGATTATGAACTTGAGAGCGATGCAAGTGACAAGTACCAAACATTGAACGCAAAGCGATCTAGAATGAAATAAATTGAAATCCGATTTTTTTGTAATGGCGACCTACTTTCGATGAAAAGCCGAGCAATTTCACTACAAGTACATTCGCGGGTAGCAAAATTTATACGACTCCGTATATACCGGGTGCGTCTCAAAAGTGGCTCACCCTATTACTTTTTTGTATTTTTTAGATAAAAAATGAGATTTGGTATGTTAGTATATGACATAAATTAGGATTGATTGACGTATTCAATTGTTTTCTGTCACTTCCTGTTTCACCGGAAATGACTACAATTTTTGATTTTTTAAATTACACCCAAATCGGTATTTTTTACTTCTTTATTCGATGAAAATAACATTCTAAATAGAATGACGTATCCTTATGTCAACTTTTGACATATTCGCTTAAAACAAATTGTATTTTAAATTTCAATCTAGAGTACCATGGCTATTGTTAAAAACAATAATTTTAAAATCAATCTAGAGTACTATGGCTGTGTTAAAAATTTCAATAATTTTAATCAAGGGAGCCTTAGAAAATAAATTTAATCGTCTAATGTTTTTAGTGTCTTGCCCTAGCCGGTTAAAAGATGCCCAAATAGTATTTTTGATCATATCTCAATTTTTTTCAAATGGAGACGAGGGTGGGTCATTAGCGCTATTTCGAAAAAAAAAAATTGATACCACACACTTGGTACTTCGAGTCAAATTGTCGTTATGAACCGCATGTTACAATTTCAAATAAACCCATATGCGAAAATGTCAAAAGTTGACATGTGATATGTCATTTTATTCAGAGTATCATTTTCTACCGAATAAAGTAAAAAAATACCGAGGTTGCGATTTAAAATCAAAAGAAGAGTTGCATTTCACATTGAAACCGGTAAGTGGCCAAGAAACAATTGAATATGTCAATATATATACTACCCCTACCAAATCTCGTTGTTTTATTTGAAAAAATAAAAAAGTTATTTCAAAAATTGATCCCACTTTTGAGACACCCAGTATATTATTTATCGTTGCGTTATCTGGGGCGGCTACTCCTTAACAAATTTATTCATTTTAAAATACAAATATACGATCAAGCTTGATATTAATTAAAAAACTATGAACGAAAAACATTATAACAAGATAACAAAACAATAAAACAACTTAACTATCAAACATACGAAAAATATAGGAATAAAGTTTAGGATAACAGGCAATGAAATAAAGTAATAATGATCAAAAATGACTACGCCACTGTGGATATTTCAATAGTATTCAATATTCCTACTCTTTCAGGAAGAGACTCTGTTGTGGATACAAGCGAATAGGAAAGGCGTAAGTTTCATGGCGTAAACCGCGTGGTAACAACTTGTGACGTACTCTCTCGCCAATCATGTTCGACGAATAGTACGCGGCGATGCTGGTTTGCCAAAAGATATCGTTGAAAAATCTTCAACTTTCATAATAAGCAGATTATACAGAATGAAAGAAATAAGTTAATTAAATAAAACATATCGAACAATATGAACCACGTTAAAATTCCTTAGTAATATACGTCAGAATATATGCTAAACACATTATATATAATAAAAAATATATTAAATTTTTACGACCACATCGACAATGCTTCGGAAATAAACTAAATCGGGCGATCAAAGCGAATCGCTCGCCAGCTTTTACCGCACTTCCGTTCAGTACCGAAGAAGCACAAATTACCTACAGATGCGAAAGAATACCGGAGTTAAGGCTGATTCATGGCACACCGGACCGTACCCGAGCCGGGCACGTTCCGTAAAGTGAACACGGTAGTAGAAGCTCGGCCGTGCTCGGCTTAGCATGAATGCATAGGTATCAATACCATTTGCGGCAATGTTTTGGCCGTGCCTTCATCGTCGCACGGCCCCGGCCCGTCACGGTGTACCATGAATCAGCTGCTTACGCGTTCAGGTTTCTGTGACCTTCAGAAAGAGTTCATAGACAATCCGCATCAATGTATAGTTTGGGTTATTATTTATTTGGTTGAAAATAATCTGCACCAATATGTTATCGAGGCATATAATCTCACAGTAATTTAATAGATTGCTCGTCATATTATATCAGTTCGTAGGAGATTAGGAAAAAAAATATATTTATAGTATAGAAAATTAATTTTTTTAACAAAATTTAATTAGAGATGTGACAAAATAGTTACTTTTCTATTGGTTCTATCGGACTTTTTTGACTATATAAATCTTTATTTGTAAACTTTAATGCATAAAATACAGTAAAGACTCGATAATCCGGATCAATTAAAGCACAAGTTAATCCGGATTAATAGAAAAATCCGGATTATCGCGATTTGCATTTTTTATAGACATATATTTAAAAAAACGAATAAAATAAAACATTTTTATTAGCAGAACCTTCAACAAATATAATTTAAGTAAGAATAAGTATATTCTATAACAAAACTCGTTGTGAATAGAAACATACATCCTATAGATACCAAAGTATAAAATACATACTACATTATTTAAAATAATCAGAGATTTTACTTTGTTTTTTAAGTGCATTAACTGAAGAATACTTAACTATAGCTTCCTCTTCTCCGTTTATTTTATTTTATTTTAACCATTTACAGTTTTCCTTTTGTAAAATTTTCTAGATACGCCTGTGTTCTGCAATGTCCATATATGTTTAATTTGTAATTTTATGACATTTTTATTTGTTAATTTGTATATTTGTTTTTGTGCTTTTTTGTTTTGCTTTGTCGATGAAGCTGTTTTGGCTTTTTGTACAATAAAGCGTTGTGTTTGTTTGTTTGTTCTTGTATATTTTTTAAGACAAGAATATCGTTAATACTAAGATCATTCTCTTCAGCCCTCTGCAATCCCAGTGTAAAAAATTTTATTGCATCAACGTGCTTGATTTTTTTTTGACTGGATATAGATTTCTTCATCGCTGGTCTCGTCGGCGTCGTCTATAACTTCATGTTCGAGATCACCATCCTCTACGATATTTTCAGAGTTTTCAACCCATTGATTCATTTCAGTATTTGTATGAATCTCTCCATCAATTTGCGTCAACATGTTTAAAATGTCTTGGTAGCCATGTTTTACTTGCTGCAATTTCTTTTGCAACTGGCTAGGGGAATGAGATGATCAGGGTCATAATCTGGTAAATTTCCTGATAAAAGTTTTTTCTAAAGAGGTCGTTCTAACTTTTTGCCATGAATTATAGAATAAGCAAACTGCATCCATAAGATTAATTTGCTTAATGCATTTACCAATATCATTCCCGTCTTAAGTTGGGAAAGGATATGGGCTAAAAGACCTTTTCGGTAGTTTAGCTTTGTTAATCTGATCGCATTTTGATCCGGCCGTCAAATTATTACGATATAAATGAATTACCGCTTCGAGAAAACGCGTTAAAACAAGTTAGAACCACAAATTCGGATTACCGAATCAAACGAAATCCGGATTACAAGGTACATAACGCAAGTGCGCTGCCGATCCGGACTAGCAAGGAATCCGAATTAGCGCTCTTCGGATTATCGAGTTTTTACTATATTTTCAATCTAATAAATAACTTAATGATGTAAATAAGAGGAAATTTCTCACATGGGTGGTAAAATTCTATAGTTTTCATTATA